TAACATAACAGCAAATGTTAAACTTTTATTATAAGTTTTTCTTCATTACCCATTCAAGTCGTCTCCAGCCATTATTATTCTGTAGCTTTGTGCTTAGAAACAACAAAACCAAACCATTTTAATTAGTTTGATATATCGTACATCATTTTTGGAGTGTATTATGAAACGGGAGTTATTGTTTTCTAAATACAACTTACATCACCCAAAGTATACATGTTTGTTGCCAGGTATGAGCTTCGAGAAGACAGAAAACGTGAAGCAGCTAGGAACAGTTGCCAGATTGAAAGCATCAAGAGAGACATCATCCGCTCACTCAGAGGCAACCAAGCGTGGAGCAATAGCCAGGGAGTGATTCAGCCAAGTCCAGAATCCAATCAAGACCTACAGTTTGGCTTGTCTTACTATGAACTAGAAAACCTCAAGCGAGAAATTGTTTCTAGTTTAAGAGAGGAAATCAGAGGAGTGTTAAGAGAAGTAACGCAAACAAGGGCGCCCTCTATTGGCCCGAATATGAATTCAGACCTTTATCAAACACACCTGTACACACAACTCTGAATGATGGCAGATTTACATAAATGCTGATCCCATCCACTTAAACATAATTATTAACTTAAACATCTTGAGTAATAACAAAGTTAAGAGAGAGGCTTGTCAATCTAGCTTAATAATTGCTATATATAAAACTATATAACAAATTATTTGTATAAAACTATATAACAAATGCTGTGTAACAATGTATCAAATGAACTATCTACGTGTAGATTATTTTGAAAAAGCACTACAATTTTAAGATATATTTGGAGCTTACTAACACTGACTTGGAGAAGAGTTCCGACGTGGTTTATTTGAGAGGAGGCTTTTGTTTATCAGTCAGTTAAAAAAAAAATTGATTTGTAGATGTGAAATATGAATGCCTTCTAGTGACAATTTGTGTCATCTGGATATACAACACCATTTGTTAGTTCTGAAGTATAAGTTAGTGTTGTGTGATATCGTTATTATTTGCGGAGTAATAATGTTGTATTTGACTGAACTATTCTACAAAGAAATAAAGTAGTCCTTAATAAGATACATTTTGTTACTGTACTAAACATTATTACAGTGACAAACTAATGGCTACCATGAAGATGTAATTCATGCAAATACCACTTTCATCAATTTAACTGTTTGTTTCTTGAATTTCACGCAAAACTACTCGAAGACTATCTGCGCTAGTCGTACCTATTTTAGAGGTAATAGACTAGAGGGAAGACAGCTAGTCAATCACACCTACCGTCAACTCTTGGGCTACTCTTTTTACCAACGAAAGGTAGGGTTGATCATCACATTATAACGTTTCCGCTCGGTTTTGAAATGGGAAAAAAATTTAAAATGGATTCCGCATAATAATCTAGGGAAATTGAAAACATATCTGACTTCGAGCAGAAATAAAACGTTTTATAGAGAAAACATAAATGTTTACAAATCACTGAAAACATATAATAAATACTTTAAGAAGAATATCTAGAAAAACTAAGAAGAAAAAAGACAAGTAGTGACTCTAATAATTATATTACCTAGGCGTAGTGGTCACACGAGATTTTTGTTTACCTTGACCCCCTAAAAGATGATGTTACTTTTGTTATATATCTCGATCTTTATCTATTCATTACTTTGTTAATGAAAATTTGTTAATCAATATATTTTAGAAATAATCAGTGTAGAACTAGAACTGCCTATGATAAGGATTTCTTCATATCATATGTAACTTTAACAGAACCTTATGTGAAGAAAATTAACAACGTTCCTTTCGCACTAGTAATCTATTGTACTGGATCATTCACCTAGGGTATTATACACACTTTCTCGAGGGAAAAAAATAATAAGATTCAGTGTATTTGTGTGCGTCACGTAATTCCTCATAAACTGTTGGTCGCACCGACTTCTAATGGGTGCCAAACGAATAGTCCGGGCCCCGAGGTTTGCACAAGGATAAAACTTTTCATCCAACCCCTTAGGGAACCCTGGTATTTTGGGAAAACATTTTTACCTGGATTCCTCAAAATCGGACACCAAATTAGGCCATCTGATTACAGTTCTTAACTTTGTTAAAGAAGTTAAACTTCGATTACATCGGCAATGATAATTAAACTGAAACAGTCCAAAATAGTACTTCAAGCATTAAATTTGCGCTATAACGGCTCTATAGATGTGGGCCATAGGTCCACAGGTTCGCTAGTATATTTGTAAATTTGAATGTACTAAGTAGAGGTAGACAGTGGTGTTTTCTGCTGTCAGGTCAGGTGATACCTTGAAAACACAAACTCTAGGTATACTACCAGGGCAACTGTGGGCCATGGAGTGGCGAAGCTTGGTGTTACATAGAGCTGATGGATGGGCTATATATGGTTATTCACCTATCTGTCACTCAAGGGCAGGGACTTAACGCTCGTCCAATTGTAGAGGTCCCTGAGTATGCTCACTCTGTCATTCCCCAATGCTTAGGGTGTCTAAATCTGGTGTTGGCTGAAAGTCCGTGGTTAAAAAACAGGTCTTTTTGACAAAACTAAACAAACTTATTCTCAACGAGTAAGGGTGTGGCTAAAGAGGATTTGGAACATTCAAACAGGCTACTGTTCGGAATGGCTGAACTCATGAACAGACAGTGAAGTGTTTGATCTTGACTTTGGATAGTCCAACTCTCGATTTTATCAAGCATTTAAATGAGGAACAACTCCGGAAATTAAACCTAGTTGTAGACAAGTTATGCCAATATTTCATTTAAATGGAAAAACCAAGCCATGAGAGTTTCCATACTACAGTTTTTAATATGTTTGTGTATATTCACAAAATTTGGCAAGCTTTCAGTAAATATTACAATCTTTCGTACACAAAAAAATCAGATTTTTTGATTAAGTATTTTTACTAAATATTTGTCTGTGAATATATGGAGTTAAAGTGTTGACTGCTCCGAATACAAAGTGATTTTCATGCTAAGATTAAAAATACTTTTCATCATCTGAAAATTGTCAGATTTAATTTGCGTAATCTCTAAAACCTCCTAAATAAATATCAAACATTTTTTTCAGTAAAACTTTAAATGTTATCTGTTATATTTTCTTTACCCTAACCCTATATACGTTCGGTCAATTTGACTAACCTCATAACCATCATAAAAAAGTCTAAATTACCCTTTTTTATTTCTAAAATGACTGCAAATTGTAACAGGAAACTACAATTATTTATCCTAAATAACTTAAAGCTCGTAACAGTAGACATCTATTTATATTTAAATTTTATTGTTTTATTACCCTTTGACCCGTGTCTAACTAACCATCCCGCCACACACGTTGTGAATCACTCACCGAACAGGTAGCTCACGTTACGATATTCAATTACATAATGCATGAGCTGCTCGCGAGCATACCTCACGAAGAATTATTATTATAATCATTCATTATTTTACCTAATTTAATCTTATCTAATCTAATAAGTTTCAATTTTTAACATTTTAGTTACTTTTATAATGATATACATAACAACTGTCGATAAAAGTTAAGCCTGCTTTTTTATACTAATGGTACTAAATAATTTTTATTTAGCTAAATAATGCACCTAAAAATAAAAACTAATAGCAATAACAAAGCAAACAATGTCTTATAACTATTATAATTTAGCTGGGTTTCTAACTGTGCAATGAGAGCCTTTAAGAAATCAGCTAAGCTTGTCAACGTGAATACTGTGAGAAAATGTTTAGAAGTGTAAGGGGAATTAGAAACTCTATTTGCAGAAAACAAAATAATATAATACGTCATTTGATATATTAAAACTTTGGCTTTCTACTGGTTATAACTAATATGGTATAAAACGTCAGAAATAACTATTGGCAATTTGTGAAAGAGAAGATGTGTCAAGCGGGTCTGATTTTCTAACTTATGGCTCCATAAACAAATAAGATTGAAGGCTATAAAAATTATGCTTTATCTCAGTAATATATATATATTATAATGAGTAATTTGCGTTAAATTCCATACCTTTTGGAGGGAGGAGAGGTAAGTAAATCAGAAAAGAAGGAAGGCCTAGAGAACCTATGTTACAATTATCATACCAGCGAAGATTGGGGATTTTTTAAATATTTCCTTATAAATTTAAGCTATTAAAATGTGATTAATTAACTATGTTTTGATGCCAAGTTTATTCGTATACAATGATAATAAAGTAATTTAATTACAATTTAAATATAACTCTCTGAAAGGTCGTGACATGCGCATTTTGACCTACTCTTAGCGAGAGGGTTCATTGAAGGGCTACCTGGTGAGGCAGTGAGGCATTACTTGAATGTAAAAAACATTCCCACCCTAACACAGGCAGTTACTGTGGCAATAGGGTTTGAAGTCGTAACTTCAAACAAGTCTAAAGAGAGGAAAAGCTTAGAGTGAGCTGCAGTGGCTGTACCTCAGAAAATCCTCTCTCCTCAAGCGACTGCACCATACCAGGTTCCAACTTTATGGAAAGCACCAACACCCAACAAATTCCTGGCTTCCATGATTATCTCATGAAGTTTGTGTCACAAAAGATGTTGATTATGTCTCTAACCAAATATTGCTCTGAATGGATGATTTCCTCCAAATTGAATTGCCCATAACCTGTTTGGCAACAAGGTAAGCAAGGCTACTAGTTTTCACCAATAGCGCAAAAGGTGCAGGAAAGTCATGGGAAACTGTATTTACTCCTACTTTAACTCCAGGAAGCTAACAGAGCCAACTGGTGTCGAGTCATTAACTTGGGGAAGTTCAGTGGACAGCTTTCAGCGAATGGTTAGATGATCAGTCCAGCCCTTTCATGGATGGATGGTATTTAGTATGTGTCCATAAAGATACAGAGGTTAAATATAGAGTTTGTGGTTGATTCAGTAAGTACCAGAACATTGACTGATGTTGTTCTGTATCAAACACCTTTAGTGAGGCCACCACTCTGGCTACATAGCATTTACTTTATTCGGGCAAATGGAGAGATATGTCTCCAACTACTTCTAGGTAATGTCAACCATAGAATGAAGGTAGTCATCTTTAACCTAGATTCTGGTATTGGTGTATTAGGGATGGAGTTACTGTGAAAATTACGAGTCAGTTTTGCAAGTACAACAAGTGAACTGTATTTCTGTGGGTAAATCAACTGATGCTGGTCACACCAGGCCCAAGAACAAGGTACTGCAGAAATGTATGTTGTAGATGGAGTCACAGTACCTCCATGTATACAACTGGTATTCCATGGTATAATTTGGACAATATTAAATGTGTTGTTGCTGTAGAAGGTGGCGAGAAATAAATAAATAATGAAAGGCATTGTTTCCTGTCCATAAAGCAGCCAGCATCAGCTCAAAGAGAGATATGTAAGAGTGGACATAGTCCTGGTGTTGTTCTGCAATTATAGCCACTCATCTAACCAGCTTCCTACTGAAATGGTCATCTGCATAGTGAGAGAAATTGAGGTAACCAAAACTATCACTAATGTTGCTTCCACTGCACTATGTCTGAGAGCAAGTACACAGTTGCCAACACATTTTAGGTTGCTGTTTGAGGACTGTGCAAGCAATATTGATTCAACACAGTAACAAAAGCTTAGTGTATTGTTTGTTAAGTATGCCAATATATTGTGGGGCCAAATGGCCAATTGGGTTAAACAAATATAACTCTACCTTACATAGATACAGGCTATACACGTCCAATTAAACAACCACATCACACACTTCCCTGGAGCACTAGTGGTATAGCGAAGATACAGTAAATGTTAAAGGATGAAATCACAAAACCTTCACATTTTGTATTGTGTTCTCTAATATTAACTTTCGGGAAGTAAAGAGGGCACACCCGGTTATGTCTTGGTTTCAGATGGGTGAACATAGTGTCTCATGTTCACGCCTTTTCCCCCACAGAGGATGAATGTCTGAATACATTAGAAGGGGTGGATGATTCAAACTTAAGACCTGGCATTTGAATACTGGAAAGTCAAAATGGATTATAAGAACATACCTAAGACTTTTTCAGCTCTTGAAATGATTTGTATAAGTTTTGCATCGTGCCATTTGACTG